TGGTGGTGGTGGTTAATGGTAGTGCCTTTATGTTGCTTTTAACTTTCGAAGAAATTTTTTTGGGTCCTCACTGATAGCATCCCACATACGCCAAGGGAGCCAGGGACTAAGTTCTTAACTGAAGAGAGGACAAGAGGACACTCCTGCTGGCCATCTGTGCATATCTTCTAAAAACAGGGCCCTCAGCCAGAGCTCAGGGCCTGGCCCACGGCCCCCAAATACAGCTGCAAACACAAATCTTCAATCCCTGCAATCTGGGATCTAGCCTGCTGTCTGCTTCAATGCACACTTGCCAAGTGAATGAGGAGGTATTTGTTTATTATAGTCACAGCTTCTCCAAAATACAAGGAAAATAATTAGAAATAGGGCAGTTTCTGGAGTGAAGAATGTTTACTACCAACAAAAACAAAAGCTCAATCATCTGCCTTACCTTATTTTTCTAACAGTTTAGTTTTTCCAAACCTGAGATCTCCCTCACCAGATAAACAAAGGAAAGATATTTACATTAACAGTATGAGGGGAGAAAGCACTTGCTGCGTCATGCTAACAGCTACCACAGAACAGAAACCTACTGCAAGATGCATCAGACAAGGACAAAAGTCTCTGGAGAACAGATCCGGACAGCGTAGCCATGTAACTACGTAGCTTACAGCTGTGTAGCTTGGACCGTGTCAGCATCTCCGTTACCCAAATCCTATAATCCATAAATAATAATTAAGGTGTCCCTCTCTCACTCTAGGAAAATAACTTGAAAATTAAGCTGCACATAGATGTGGGGGAGCTCTGCCACCAGTGATGTTAATCAGCTTGGAATCCACAAAGGACTCCCTACATCCCCAACCCATTTTTCTGACTTCATCTGAATTTTAGTACCTTCATTGCATTGTTGAGTTTTTAGGGGGAAAAACTCTCTGTTAAGAGTTTTAGAATCATAAACATCAGAGTTAAAAAGATGCTGCAAATCATCTATACCTTCTAATTTTAAAAATAAAGACAGTGTACCTCAGAGATGTTAGAAATGGCAGAACCCAAGACTGTGGGAATCATGACTTAACTCCATCTCCTCTGAAATCTTATTATAGCTTTGTTTTTGTATTATTTATATATAGCTGTCTTTTACTAGAAGAATAGGGAAGTATGAACTATATTGGGTAGTTGCTCTTAAGAAGTTTATCTTTGTAGTGTCAATTTATTTTGGGTGAAATTTTACAGAAACACAGAGCTAGTTTTTTCATACACGTAGATGTCATTTAGATATTAGGAGACAACACAGCTGAATCCTGGAGTTGAATGGATTTTAAGTATTTTCTAGTATAATTACCTTCACACATGAGGTAACCAAAGACCTCAGAGGTTTTAATGTATCAGTTCAGTCCAGTTGCTCAGTGGTGTCCGACTCTTTGTGACCCCCTGAATCGCAGCGCACCAGGCCTCCCTGTCCATCACAAACTCCCGGAGTTTACTCAAACTCATGCCCATTGAGTCAGTGATGCCATCCAGCCATCTCATCCTCTGTTGTCCCCTTCTCCTCCTGCCCCCAATCCCTCCCAGCATCACGGTCTTTTCCAACGAGTCAACTCTTCGCATGAGGTGGCCAAAGTATTGGAGTTTAATATATAAGGCCACACAATTAGGGGAGCATGGGGTGGCAGAGAGTTGGTCACCACTGAATACACATGCCAGTATTACATAATTCCTGGTTCAAGGGTCTTCCTACCATATCAGGCTGGATTTTCCATATTATAGTCAGGTGCAGCACTGGTTATTTTTAATTTATAAAAATCTTGGGTGTTATGAAATATCAGTTCATGACTCATTCAGTGTCAAAGGCTGTGCACTATAGCCGTCCTATTTTTACTAATTTAAGAATAATTTTTCCTCTCAAAGTCCAGTAGGTCCATTGATTTCAAAACGTAAGACAAAAAGACCACAGCCCTGGCCCCTTACAGTGGAAGAAGAGCTAAGTGGTGAACAGCCAAGTGATGCTGAGGACATAGACACCCCTGTCACTAACTATTAGGTGAAACTTGCTCTTCTCTGCTCCTTCCTTCTGCTGCTTGCCACTTGTCAGACTCTTTCTGGCCAGGCTGCACTGACTGAGCGTGCGTTGCCCCCAGCTCATCCATCTGAGGGTGAACACCCTTAAACCAAAGCCTCCTGGACTCCCATCCCTTGGTGATAACAGAGTTAGCATCTTCCTCTGCCCCTATCTGTGAGACTTCAACTAATCCACATCCCTCTTTGAATCTCAGTTTGCTCACGGATAAAATGGCAGCATTCACTCTAGCCCTGCAGTCATACAGTCTATGACTTAAGGGATTGTTATACTGATAACAGTTCAAACCAGTCAATCCTAAAGGAAATCGGTCCTGAATATTCATTGGAAGGACTGATGCTGATGCTGAAATTCCAATACTTTGGCCACTTGATGCAAAGAACTGACCCACTGGAAAATACCCTGATGCTGGGAAAGATTGAAGGTGGGAGGAGAAGGGGACAACAGAGGATGAGATGGCTGGATGGCATCACCGACTCAATGGACATGAGTTTGAGCAAGCTCTGGGAGTTGGTGATGGACAGGGAAGCCTAGCGTGCTGCAGTCTATGGGGTCGCAAAGAGTTGGACATGACTGAGTGACTGAAATGAACCATGTTCGTAAAGGGGAAAGAGGGGGTGAACCCAGGTGGCCTCTTGATATACAGCATTTAAGTCCTGATCCTTCTTTCTCTGCCTCTCTCTAGGCAAGCCAGGCAGCCTGTAGGGGTGGAGTCACATATTTGAGTGGGTGGGAGAATGTCTGAATGAAAAGAAATGCATGATCCCCAGAAATGACTGGAAGGCCCAGGGAGTGACAGGCAAAAGTCAGAAAAAGCAGAGATGCTCAGGAACAAAAGAGGAATGACTCAGCCTCAAATGAGATACAACACTCTTAAGGCACAGGCTCCATTCTAGATTTTATCCTTTCAGATCAAACGTTAGGGAAGTCACATACATGCTGGAGGAAATGCTGTCAGTAAGTACTTTGATGCTTTATTACACTGACTTGGGGCAGCTCTATAACAAAGGTTTGCTGTAGTCCACCCAAAGGATGGAGCACACAGTCAACTATTAACCCCTCTGGAAGACTTGTCCAAATGATGCCTCTTCCTGCCCAGCAGTGTGGCGCACATATAAATCTGAAACCACTGACTGCAGTTGAACTTACAAACCTTTCTTTCAAACTGTTACCAAGCTTAACCAGACACTGTCTAGCTACTCATCCTATGATTCAGATCCCAAGATGGTACAGTTCTATAGGGAACCCTTCACCTTTGTGGTCTGTATATTTATTATGACAATTTTCTGGCAGGTATCAAGAACAGGTTTTGAAGAAAGAGCAGCAAAAGGATGAGAAGCAGGGCAGCCTATTCCAAACTGACATAAACACCCATTATGGGCAAAGAGAAGAACACTGAGCTTAAGTGTATGTTACCTATGCTTGCATGAACAACGATAGATGGGGTGATGTCACGATAGCTCTAGTTAGGGTCCCTAGATCTTACACTATTTTTATCAAGATGACAACCTTAAAGAAGTAAAACTACTAATAAAATGTGAGACCCCGTAAGAATAAAAGTCCAGGTTCCAGCACTGGGTGACCTACAGAAATTCTATTTTTAGTCTGGAAAACCTCTAGGATGCAATAAACTCCCTCCCAGGCTCCTTGGGGGTTTGCAGAGAGCTCTGGCAAGCCTCAGAATTAATAATAATAACCTTAATAAAAAGGGGGAGACTCAATCCAAACCCAAAACACTGCTAACCGCAGAGTTCATATATATGACACAAATCTGGAGCATTTCAGAAGGTCTGATGAACTGGATCACCAGTGAGGATAAGACAAGAGTTCCCACCTGTGCTTCCAAGTAGGTCACACTGAATGACTGCTTGTAGCAACAAAATGTTAATGATCTCTTCTCACTCTCAAAACTGGACTATATTTTTAGTGTTCTCTTTTTTAAAGTCAGCTTTATTGAGGTATAATTTACATAGAGTAAGTTTCACCTTTTTAGAGAGCAATTCTGTGGGTTAGAAAAAAACTTATAAAATTTGTGGCCACCATCACAATCAAGACATAAAAATGGTTTTGTCACCCCCAAAATTCCCTTGTGTGCCCCTTTATAATCAACCTCTAACCCTAGCTTCTGATTTTTAAAAAACCAGACTGTATTATAATATAAATTTCAACACTGTTTACACTTCCCCTTAAATATTTAGCATATGTCACTGATCCTAAGATATTACCCCCAACACACACACTCCTAGATTTAAACATTCTCAAATTATGATGTGTTTTATAATCAATGGCATTTTACCATTTTAACTGAGAAAAAATTTTCTTTTTAGGAGTATATAAAATAAGATGTGCCATAATCTATAGTGCCTTAAAAAAAAAATCAATGAAGTATAATATTAAGTTTTCATTGAATACTTACAATGTGCGAAGCATCCTACTGGGCATTAAAAGTACAAATATGAACAACATGGGCCATAAAGAACTATCCCTCAAGAGGAAAGAGAAAAATAATTATAATGTGGTCCTGTCTGTAACACAGGGCTATCCACTCACTGGGACTAAATAAAATTATCCACCCTTCTTTCAGACAAAATTCTGCCCCAGTTCATATTGTTTCATGTTCACAGGCAATGAGGAGGGAAGAAGGACCATTCAGTTCCACTCTGCTCATTCCAGGAATGAATTACGGCCACACCATCTGACAGATCTCCTGGGAACAATCCAGTGATTTCTTCCCTAATTCACTGCTGTGGTAGAGAAGACTTCCCAGTGTGCGACAGCTGCATGCCTGTTACGACCACGTCAAAAGACAAGTCACTCCAAATAACCGCTCAGTCTGGGGGAGGCAGATACTTCGAAGCTTTCACACACATGCCTCAAAGTCCCCAGATTCTCCCCTGGACAAATTTTAAAGCAAAAGGAAAAGAAGAAAAGTCAGTGTCCTTACCTGGTTCTTGAAAGTGCTCTTCATTTGATAGAGTTCTAGACAAGATAAGTATTAATGCTTCCTTAAACTGGTCAAAATGCACCTGAAAATAAACAATTCAAAATAAATTAAAAATGTTTACCATAGCCTTAAGGAAGCAAACCCATGTACAAGGTTCCAGAACCATTTGTTAGCATCCTGACAGCCTTGAAGTGAATCCTAGAACCTGTTTTTGTTCTTGCTTCTTCTTTTCTCTAAAGCACTAAAGGGAAAATGGGAAGATCATTTTACACACCAGAGCCACCAACACCACTATCAACATTTGTTCAACCCTGAGGGGGAAAATTACACAGCAAAATCCTCTTTATAAACTCAGAAGAAGACAGGTTTTGAACTCAGTTCCTTTCATTTTTCTGAACAAGACCAGAAGAGAAAGATGTTAGATTAGACCCTGGAAAAAAAATTTCCAAGTAAATGACCCTTTTAAACAATGTGCCAAAAATGCTTTCATCTCTTAAGATATTCTAAAAGAGAGTCAACTACCTTTCAAGGATGACTTGAAGTACAGTCTTGCCTCAGGCAAGTAGATGATATTTATCTCCCAAGGCCCCTAATTCTATAAACAAGTAGAAATCAATAGCATACACAAAGGATCAAAGAACCTTGGGAAGCACTCTCCACAAGTTCTTAAAAACACAATTACCTTGACTGAAGTAGGACGGAACCTGAGTTTTACTTAAGTAAATACTCAGAATTGGTTACTGATGCTTTATCGAATGCTTTGCAAGTACAATTTTGAACCAATATCCTTATCAGTTTCCTTGGCACATAAGGGAGAGTCCCCCTTCTCTTGGTGTGGTCCACAAAGGGAACTGTTGGTATCATTTGGAACTTTCATTATTAAAAAAAAAGTGGGGGAGAGGTTTGTACAATTCTTGAAAAAAAAAACAAAGTTAGAACTGGTATATTAAAGGAGTAAAATGGTTTTCTTTATAGCCAAGTATATTATTCTATAACTTAAATTCACATGATCTCACCATGGGGCAGAAGTCAGAGATGGTATTTCTTCTTACCATAATTATAGCTTAATAACATGATACCTATTTATACAGAAGCCCATATGTAAATACAAAGTTGATAAATTCATAATGTGTGCTGCTGTGGGTCTCTTTGGGACATTATTACAAAACACTGCCTAGGAGTTTAAATATAGGTGACAGATAAAAACCACTTCTGAATTAAATGTGGAAAAGCAGCAAACCTCATTAGTTATCTAAACAATAAAGGACAACAAATGATATGTCTTATTCATGCAAATCAATGCAAAGGAGAGGAATCCACTGAGATTCATGTGTCATAAAACTGTATATGCTTGCAATTTACCACACTCCCCAAAGTGCATGTGATTTCTCTACCACATTCATTTTGATTACTTGAAATTGCTTTCTAAATCATATTCCTTTAGATCACACAGACTAAAAATCAGCATATTTATGGAGCCAGAGCAGAAGTCTAAAAAGGAAGGGCGGGCATCTGCTAAGGAGCCAGTGAAGGATTAAAAGATCATAGAATTATAAACTGTGCTCATTAGGTTTCATAGCTGACAAATCACATAAATACCTGGGAGAGGAAAGAAGGCCAGCTTTTGCCAGTATCAGATGTGCTTCAGGCACTGTGGCATCCAGCTTCAGTTAACCAGGGGCAATACCATCTTCCCAACCAACCAGCTCACAAACATCACAAACCCAAGCCCCTCCTACTCAGGGCATCTCCCACACTGGCATCTACTACTTCCTGCCAGGATCATGCCTTGCTCTCAGGGTGGGCAGGAGAAGGGTGAGGAGCGAATGCTCTATATGCCGGAGCCAGCTGGCCCGAGGTTCTGACTCTGGCTCAGCCGCTCGCCTGCTTCTGTGAGATGGCTCAATTACTAAACCTCTCCAAGCTTTCGTCTGCTCCTCTTGAAAAGTGGGGCTATGGAACAACTGATTTTTATGATTCATTCAGCAGATATTTACTGGGCCACTGCTATGTGCCAGGCCCTATCCTAGGCCCCGATGACAGAGCCTCCATATTCTCCGGAACGGTTACAGGGAGTCAGGCAGGTACTTTGCCAAAAGCATTGCATGTATTTTATGTTATGTATCCTACCACCTCCCTGATAACAGCTTTAGGGAGATAAAATGAGTTACATAAAGTGTCTCAAACTTCCTGGGACTTGTGCAGTTCAGTTCAGTCACCTAGTCGTGTCCAACTCTTTGCAACCCCATGGACTGCAGCACACCAGGCTTCCCTGTCCATCACCAACTCCCAGAGCGTGCTAGGTACTCAGTAAGTGGTAGTAGCCACTCCAACAGGACCAGTAACAGGGTGACTATTTTCACCACTTTCACAGACAAATGGCTATGTTTTCCAAGCAAAGCGACCGACCATGAGAGTGACCCAGCCAGCCAAGTGCAGGGTGGGGTGAGAGCAGGAGATCCGGGAGCCTGCCTTCCCCGATCTGTGCAGTTGCCCAGCACGAGAAAAGCAGATCTGGTCTGCTGTGTTCGGGGACCCCCACTCCATGATTCTACTCTCCCTCAGGGAATCAGTAGGCATGACCAAAGGAAACTTGAGTCCCTCGTTGCCACAGTTAGTTAATGAGCTGAAGAGAAGGAGGCTCCTATTTCAAAAGGGTGGTTCCTGCTTTGAGACTTTCACATCCTTTATACCTGACTCTGTGCGCCTCCGCTGGGTCTTCTCAAGGTGGCAGTTTTGACAGAAGTCATTGGAAAGAGCCCTTCAGAATCTTGTCCTAATGTAGTTCCACCCAGTGAGCACTAGCCACACAGAAGACTCAGGGGCCTCTATCTCAAATTTACTCCCCCAACTCCCACTGCTAAATGGGAAAGAGATTCAGTTACTAGAAAGTTATTTTAATGCAAGTCCTGGGGGCATTATTGTAGGCTCATTCTATCCTGGACATTTAGCCAGCTGACTCTCACAACATCCAGGAGAGACAGGCCCCAATAAATGTGTTACGAGTCTGTTTGATAGTGTCTCATAAGACCCTTCTGTTCTCTATGTCTGTCTTTTGCTCCTGTGATGAGATGAATTTTACTGCCCTATCTCAAGGCAGGCATCGTTCCGTTAAATTGAAAGGAGGGAGGCTCAGAGAAGGCGTGTCCTTTCCCAAGGCCACTGGTCTTGAAGTGACAGAGTCCCAGGAGAACTCGGGCCTTCTGCCTGGACTCATCAAAGTCCAGCTCCCTGCCCGTCCCAGCCCCCGCTTCACTCCTGGTCTGACCTCTCGGGGAGATCCCTCTGTTGCTCCAGGTCACATCCTCAACTTTACACAACGTCACCAGGTGTAAAGCCAGACACTGAGGCTGCAGAACACGAAGCCTATCCTGAAGGACACGAAGGCAAGAGTATACATGACCTCTGCCCTCAAGTGGTTTACCAGCTACAGTCTGGATTTTAGAGGGTGGGAGGGGGGACAAGACAAGAAAGTCGATTAGCAACTACAAGGCTGAAACTGGCAAATGTTTTGAGACACAAAATAATGAAAAGAAAAAATAATTCCACTGTATGTGTGTGATTTTATCTCTCTCTCTCTCTCTCTCTCTCTCTCTCACAACTTCTTTATCCATGGACATGTAGGTTACTTCCATGGCCTGGCTATTGTAAACAGTGCTACAGTGAACACTGGGGTACATGTGTCTTCTTGAATTACGGTTTTCTCAGGGTATATGCCCAGTGGTGGGATTGCTGGGTCTTATAGTAGTTTTATTCCTAGTTTTTTTAAGGAATCTCCAGACTGTTCTCCATCATGGCTGTTATCAATTTACATCCCCACCAAGAGTGCAAAAGTGTTCCCTTTTTATTCAATCATAAAAAGGAACAAATGTGAATCAGTGGAACTGAGGCAGATGAACCTAGAGCCTGTTATACAGAGTGAAGTAAGTCAGAAAGAGAGAAACAAATATCGTATATTAACACATACATGTGGAATCTAGAAAAATGGTACTGATGAACCTATTTGCAGGGCAGGAATAGAGACGCAGATATATAGAACAGACTTGTAGACACAGTTGGGGGGGAAAGAGGCTGGGACGAATTGAGAAAGTAAGACGAACATATATACTGTGTAAAACAGCTAGCGGGAAGCGGCTATACAACACTGGGAGCCCAGACTGGCACTGTGTGATGACCTAGAGGTGTGGATGGAAGGTTAGAGGGAGGCTCAAGAGGAAGAGGATATACGTGTAGTTATGATTGAGTCACGTTGCTGTGTGGCAGAAACCAACACGACACTGTAAAGCAATTATCCTCCAATTAAACAAACAAACAAACAAATAATCAGCAGCTCTAAAAAAAGCTGGTAGGGGGATCTGATGAAAGAGTATGTCCTAGTAGGCCAACAGGGAAAAGAAGGACAGTTTTTTGACATCTGACTTCCCCAAGATATTCACAGGTAGAGCTTAAAAGTTTCCAAAATGGACTTAGGATGTATTACATCAGCTACATTTCAGAAGGAAAAAAGTTTACAAAAGACTAAATATGATTATTACTTTGGCCACCTCATGCGAAGAGTTGACTCATTGGAAAACACCTTGATGCTAGGAGGGATTGGGGGCAGGAGAAGAAGTGGACGACAGAGGATGAGATGGCTGGATGGCATCACCGACTTGATGGACATGAGTTTGAGTAAACTCTGGGAGTTGGTGATGGACAGGGAGGCCTGGTGTGCTGCGATTCATGGGGTCGCAAAGAGTTGGACACGACTGAGCAACTGAACTGAAACATGATTATTAACTCAGGGTTATGTTAATAATCCAACATTGTCTATCTGGGTAACCTCTTCTTCCTCCACAAAAAGAACCTACAGATCTAAAACAAATATCTGGCAGGTTGATCAAAACAACTGGAGCAGCTCTAAGTCTTAAATTATCTTTATTTTCCTTCTTGTGAGGACAGAGACACTGGACCCTCTGCCTTAAACGGCAGTAAATTCCACATCTTTCAATAGAGTTCTCTAACAGAGGCAGGTGACTGCTACTTTTCATTGGTGCTCATGATTACTGATGGGGCAGAAAAACCCCTCAGGGCACAACTCAG